CCTTGTCTCTTCCTGCCCCGGCACTGTGCATCTTGTTCAGCTTCTGGAGTTGTTCACTGCAGAAGGGTGAGTCTAATGCAAACTACTCTATCCCATCTGGAACCAGAAGATTCTAGGCATCGGTACTTTTTTTTTTTTCTTTTACGAAAAGCTTAGGTGATTCCAGCACGAGACCACCAGGCTTGGGAGCCACCTTGTCATGCTGTTGGCAGATTATCTCATGATTGAGGGGACCTGGACATTCTGTCTAGAGAAAAATTCCCAAGGGTTAATTCCCAGATGTGCAGTAAGTTCTGGTGTCTCCAGGACACCAATGGGCTTAGGCTCCTCTCCTTTCCTTGGGCTCCCAAAATGTCATATTTTCCTCCTCTTACAAGCTCTCCTACTCCACTCGAGGCTGAGGGAAGCTTGGCTGCCTCTTCAGCACCCGACACCGTCCAGCCGCCCTCCCCAGCTTCTGCTTTCTCGCAGGGAGTAATAGGACCAGGCTCTGTATCTCATCTGTGTATTTTTTTCCCGTCTCCCCCACCCATTCTAAGCTCTTGAAAGCTGGGTGACGGGGGTCCTTCCTTCTCTTACCAACTTACAAGGCTCTTTCAGGACCCTTTGTGGTAGAAGAACAGGCCCCACCTAGACAGAGCACACCTCCTTCCTCCCCGCCAGCACCTCCGCTGGGAGCAGCAGCCTTTTCTGTTTCATGAGGCACATTCATAGGCTCAAGTCACCACCCATGGAACCAAGAGTTTATGTGGAGTGAAGGCTCCCCTGAGGTGCGGCCCCCCTGGAGGAAGAGGTGGTGAGAGTGACACCCTGACACCCACCAGACATGAGGGCTCCTTACACAGGCCCTGCCTTTGGAAGGAGTCCTGCCTGGCTCCATGAGCCCTGGGTTGGGGGACCTGCTGGGGGTTGCAGGCAGTTGGCCAGCCCTGTAGGCAGATGCCTGTCTCAGCACTGAGACACGGTCTTCCTGGTTGACAGTAGCCACAGCTGCCAGTGACCACTCGGGGGGTGATGACGTGCCCTGTGAGCGTGCTTCATGGGTGTGGCAGGACACACGTGTTCAGGGGCCTCAGCCCCATGGGGCAGTGGTTAGATCATTTCCACAGGCTTCACAGTCAGCAGGGGCCCTTCTAAAATGCAGCTTCCCAGGCTCCACCCTGGAGATTCTAACTTCGCATCTTGGGGACTCAGGGATCTCCCTATGGACACCTGTCACAGGTGGCTGTGGTGCTGTGTGCCAGGCCCCATGCTGAGAGGCTCTGTGCAGAGCATGCCTGGGGGGTCCCCGTGCCGAGAGGCTCTGTGCAGAGCATGCCTGGGATCCCCATGCCGAGAGGCTCTGTGCA